TGTCCCATAAGAAGTTGGAAATATTGTTTTTTTTTATATTTTAAAAAAATAATAAGAACTTTTGATTATGAACATTTATTCTGTGCGATTGGTATTATTTGTTGGTCGTGAGGTAAGAATATCAAAGTATTAAGATATTTACTATGAATGTTTATATTTTAAGGTTATGTTATTGTTTGATTTAAACTTTAATTATTTTTTACTGTATTTCTATACCAATAACAGATAATAACAATAGCACATAATGAATATAAATAACCAAAAGACCTTTATTTATTCTTTAAACAATTTGAAAAAACAAAATTTCCAACTTCTTATGGGACAAATACACACAAATTAGAAATGTTTGGAAAGGTTTTTAAAACCCCCGCCCATTGTGATGTCAGAGCTTAGGTAGTCCATTGTGAATGTGGTGGCAGATTTTTAAACTATTTTAATATATAGTTATCGTTTCGGCAGTTTTTTCCTGCCTTTATCAAAACTGCAATGATTTTTTGAAAAGTTACCTTATTAATTAATTATTTACTAAATATTAATAACTTTCCTAAAACGTTTCATTTATATTCAGTAAGTTTTTAATATTTTTTTATTATATTCAGAAATAAACGAATTTTTAAGAGTATTCTTAAGAGAATCTTCGATCTTGAATCAAGTAACAGCGCCGAAAGACAATACACAATAGTACCAATTGTTTTATCTTGAATAAATATAAAGAAACATCATCTGATCACAACAAAACTGTAATAAACATCTAATTAATTAGCACTATTCGTAAAAACATATTTCTATTCATTTTTTATGGTCATACCAGAAACGACGTTTTTGTCCCCATTATTTATATATGTTTGGTATCTTCTCACCTTTCCTGTTGTTGTCATATATTTATTTTACCAGACCATTTCACTCTTACATACATTTTTTCTTCCTATGCCATATCTTCCTTCTATTTTAACTTTATTAATTAATCGAAGGATACTATTTTATTTATGGGGAAGCATTGAAGAAGTGGGGAGACACGTTAACTTTTAAATTCAAATATTCACTCTTTAAATACAAATTTAAATGTACATGGTGATTCACACATGTCTAGCGTAATAATTCTTTATTTTTAATGAAACACCCTGTATATCTTATTTTTAAAAGCTCCTAGAACAACCTGATCTCAACTATATCATGTAGGGTCTATTATGAAAAAGACAATGTGAAATTGTAAATTTATTTATAATTTTCTCAAATTAATTAACCTTAAAATAAATGCTCAAAATAAGCTCCACCTTATTGTTGGCAATAACACAGTATCAAAAAAAACCCGCCCCAAACCTTGTTTAAAATTTAAGGGAAAATATTCCGTATTTTTGTAATCCCTTTTTTGAGGTCTGCAGTGCTTGTTGGCTGTGCTGCATACACTTTGCTCTTGAGATAACCCCACAGAAAAAAATACAAGGGGTAAAGTCTGGCGATCTAGCTGGCAATTCAATAGTACCTCTTCGACTAATTCATTTATTGGGAAAGATTTCGTTTAAGTAATTTCTTACCATTAAAGCATAATGGGGTGTTGCCCCGCTTTGCTGGAGCCAGACATTTTCATTCGGTAGGTTCGGATATATTCTGTATATATTACATATATGTATAACTGCCTTCCGTTGCGGTCAGGATGGAATATTTTGAAGATTTTTCCTGTACTCTCAAAAAAATAGAAGTAAATGTCCCCAGACGGCTTTTTATATCATCTGATCTATCTATTGATCTGGAAATAATGTAGTTAGTATATTTGTTATTGCGTAAATGTTGATACGATTATTTGGCTGGAGTGGTAGCTTGAAGCTACATAGTTTGCGTTACTTGTAGGTAAGATTCTAAGATTCTTTCTTAGTTAGTTAGTAAGTTACCTGTGTGTATGTTAAATTAGTTTGCAGTGTAACGAATATTTTGCATACCACATAGGGTACTATAGGGGTTGAAAATTTGGGACAGAAATTATTGGGGTGCAGATAGGGCAAGCAGAATAAACGAAACTGTTGCGAACGGCTTTCAGGTTTTATTTGGAGAACTGGGTCGTTGATAAGTGAATGAAACAATGGGATTGGATTGGGGCAACTACAAAAATGAAACGAAAGGGTACTTACATAAATCTCATGGAACAAACAAAACACAAGAAGGTCTTCTAGCTATTAAAGATGCTAGATGCTAAGGACGTCGCTTTGAGGAATATTCCTGCTGGATGAAAGAAAAAGGCTCTTCCTTCCTAAAAAACACAAGAGGGGTTATAAACTTTTTTAACAAAAGAAATAAACAAATTGGTTTAGGAAAAAAAATTAAACATTTATTGTTGTCTCACCACAAACAGTTACAAATATAGATAATACAAAAATACTATATTAATAGTTACAAAAGTAAATACAAAATAACAAAGAGACACTTACTATGTCCTATCCGTTTAAAAACTCTAGAAGTTGGAGACTACAAAACTTAAAATTGTTAATGGGCGACAATTTGTAGCAGAAATAAATTATTACAAATAAAGAAATATCTTTTTAAATGAAACTATGCATAGAGGTTAACCTTTTTATGAAAACAAAACAAAATCTCAAATATGATTAGATATTTACCAAATGTCAAAAATAGTGCTAACTGTCATATGTCAATACTAAATCTTAAAACTGAGAACAATTAAAATGACAGCAAGCTACAATTTCTTAAGTTGTTATGAAAGCAATTACTATTAGAAAAAGATGTCTATTTTTACTTTAAAAGTTCAATCAAAAAAAGTTACCTGGGTTTCACTGTTACTTTTATTTTAAATTTCTGAGGTTGGGAACTGGAATTATACTCTCTGCCACACGAACAAATTCATATCCACTGCGAATTATTCTGAAACGGCTAATGAGGCTTTACGTTGTTCACTGAGACGTAAAATTTGACACAGCTTATTAAAAAACTGGAATAGGTACAACTGGACACAATGGCAACATGTGGTTATCCTTCAAAGTTGTTGTAGACGACACAAATCTCTTAGATACTTAGAAACATAGAAACAGTGATTACTCTTTCAAAACTGACACGTTACATGGAGTAAAAATCACTATTTTTTCAAACAAATTTGCCGGTTTTTTCCGACTCAATTAAACACGTCTGCTTTCAATGACCAACTTTTTAGACCTGGCTTTACTTCGGCCTCGGTCTCTGTATCCTACCGGCATCTAGTCTTATCACACTCTTCCCCTCTAACCCTTCCACACAACGGAACAACCCAAAATTGCTGTCAAACATTTCTCATCGTATCGTAAATTGACCTTGAATCATTGCTTGCTTTTAAAATTTTAGAACTAACACGTACAAATAAATAAAACCATATTTAACGTCGCAGTTATAACTGGAATTTGGAGTATAAACACAGAGACTCGGCAATATTTTATACTTGGCCCAGGGGTGTACTACGTAATTTTTTATTACTTGAATACTAGATAGTTTTTAAGGAATTTATTATGCTACAGCAGTAGTCGGTGTTGATTTATCGTTAGGAGCCTGTTTCCCTTATGGAATGAAATTTGAGTTTTTTAACTCAGTTTCTTATAAACTTAGTACGTCTTGCAATTCGCAAGATGGCTAACTTTATATATGTATAAAATGAATGTGCTAATAGGGCTAAAGTACTGCGGAAAAGCGCAAGAATTAACAGAACAGATGAAAGAGATGACAGATATTTTTACACATATTACTTAGACTAAACATAATAATAATAAGTCTGCAAAATCTAGTTAGGAAAGAAATAAATATGAGGTATTATAGCACGATGGCGAGGCCAATATAGAAGTACGAAAGTGGAAATATATAATGAGTTTATTACAGTCTTGCGATCTTTGCATTAGAAACATAATCAACCATATTTTGTACTTCTTTTGTACCAGTAATTAGATCTTAGGCGGCAAGTACTTTGTGGAGACTTCCAAGTGACTCCACAAACAAATAGTACTCCACTAGGTAAGGGTTAAAAAATTCTGGAATGGCTATCATGAATAAATAGATGTACAAAAGGCCAGTTGGCTGCAGTATGTCGTCGAGGTTTTCAACAGACAACTTGCACCAAAAAAATGTGGCCTTTGTTATGATTCAGGTTTGGGGCTAGGTAAGTGAATACGGGTGAACGTTTTAATGTATCCTTCTCGATTGGTTAATCGTTAAAACAAAATTGAAAATGTTTTGGAAGGGGTAATAACTGGAACAGTGAGTTACTATGCTTCCCTAGGACTGTTACATGACTCAATCAGCTCAAAGAACAGTTCCTGTTACATGACTCAATCAGCTCGAAGAGCAATTCTACTTCGGTGGTTCACAAACCCGAAAGGGTAGCTTAAGCTCTGGAATATCAAAATTGACAGGAAGAATGGAAATCTCTACCCATTTCCAAATTAATCACGTTATAAAATATATTCTGATAGTTAACAAATACGTGTTTTTTTATCAATCCGTTCTATCTAGGAATCATCAAGTTATGAATGTGATTTATTTATTTTGATGGAATTCTAATAAAATGTGTGATGGAATAATTAGTTTAAATGAATCCATACCCTTATTGGTTTAGAATAAGACTATAATTAATAAATATTATTTTTTTGAAAGGAAATCATCGACAATGTTGTTTTAAATTTTTACGCCACTATCGGCCATGATCAAGCTTTTCCTTGGCGATAATACACCATTTATTAGTGTATCAGTATAGTGTAAGCTCCATAAAGTTATTCCTCATTTACCATTACCTTTAAGGTCTCTCTGTCTCAAATGCGTTGTATATACTTGGTATCATCATTAGTGAGGTCAGCTGATCACGCACCACCATAAAACTCGTCAGTAGTTAATCTATCTACTGTCACAACTTTAGATTTAAATCAGATAGATGTGTTATAGCAATTTGGTGGAAAGTATGAGCACTTTTGGATTTGTATCCGTATTTTAAAAAGTGGTTTAATAATGTAATTTTATTAATATACATATTTTTCCAGTGACGAAAAATTAGAAGACACAATCAATGAACTTATCAAACTCTTCAACATCGATAACATGGGCGACAGGGTGGAGGTAGTTATAGGAAAAGACACGCGACCCAGTAGTCCCACATTGGCGAAAGCCGTCCAAGATGGAGTACTAGCATTGTCGGGGAAACCAGTAGATTATGGTATTGTCACAACGCCTCAGGTCCATTATTTTGTAGTTTGTAAGAATACTAATAGAGCTTATGGTCAACCCACAGAAGAAGGTAAGTTTAGAATCTACAATAAAATTAATTTTCTGGTGAACATACCGGGATTGAACATTTTTTAAAGTGGGGATCATACACATTACTGATTAAATACTGAACTATTTTTGCTGACTTTAAATGCTGAATATGCTCTGTAGGTCTTGCTTCTATGTTGTAGTATATTCATTAAGATGTATTCCCTTTCAATGCTTATCAAGCTTTCTCTGTGTCCGCACATTCCTCATTAAACCAGTCCTTGTCCTCTTTTGCTTCTTCCCATCTCCTTCTTATACAGTGTGTTCAATTAAGCCGGCACCATATTAAAAACTTTTTTATTTTTAGTATTATGAAAAAAAGGTATTCTTTATAAAAAGTTCTGTATGTTCTAAAACATAAATACAATTGTCAAATATTAAGTTTTTATAGTCATATATGCGGTTTGTCAAAAAAAAAACGAAATATGGATATTATTAACTCTTGCATAAAATTTATTTATTTATTTTCAACGGGCTGCTGTCCAATAAGATTAACAATGTTTACAATAGTTATATTCCAATATACTTATTTATGTGTGCTAATCAAAAATACAATAAAACAAAATAAAATATAAACATCACAAACTTAATCACGTAATTTACTTTTACATATCAAAATGATGACTATTTTACCTATTCCACAGCCACTCAAATAAATACATGCCTGAGATCAGACATGAATTCAATCTTCGTTGCAAAAAAATCTAGATTTGAGTGAATATTTGCCCATCTTAGTGCTCGATATAAAAAAGTTATATGCATGGTTGGTGAAGAGGAACATAAAAAGTTTGATTTTATCATATTCTACGGAGAGGTACACGCACACCAACATATTCAAATAGCTGAGGGCACAAGACTGTAGAATTAATTATGCCATAAATCATCTTTGCATCATTAATTAATCGTCGATCCATTCATATTTTATTCATATTCATATTTAATACCAATTCATATTTTTTTGACAAACCGCGTATATGACTAAAAAAAAATTTAATATCTGATGATTTCATTCTAGGTTTTAGATCATTCAGAACTTTTTATAAAGAATATCTTTTTTCCATAAAACTAAAAATAAAAAAATTTTCCATGTGGTGCAGACATAATTGGTAAGCCAGTCTTTAAATGCTTCCAATCTTTTGCACATTATTACTTTTATACCAAGAAAGGTTGTGGCCCTATCTATCTCATTGCCTAGTGATCTCAAGATTGGGGACTAGAATTTAAAACTTCAGCAAAAAAATAAAATGGATAGAAAAAAATGGAATGTGCAAAAGGTAAGAGATGCGACAATTGCAAAACGGTACTCGGAAAACATGGTCAATAGGCTAAAGAATCAAAATGTAAATGAAGATATTGATGCAGCAGCAAAAGATGAAATAGAAACAGAAAGTTGTGCACGTAATATTGGTTTGACGATGAATGCAAGAATACAATAAAATAAAAAATTAAGCCTACAGAAAGATGCTTACTCGACGAACTAGAACAACTGTAGAGAATTGCCAGACAAAGAGAAGAGAAGAAAAGAGGAATCACAAAATAAAAAAACAAAACCACTTACATAAGGTACTTAAATATATAGAAAATCCCAACAGAGAGAAATAATTCAGAGCATTCTATAAGAATTTTAACATCCACAGAAAAGAATTAAGCAATTGCAAGCCAATGCAGAAGTCAGAATGAAGACCTATTAACAACAAGGAAAGATATATTGAGTAGATGCGTGGAATATTTTAACGAGGCACTTAATATAGAGGAAAAAGAAGAAAACCTGGAAGACGAAAGAGATGAGGTAAGCGGAACAGACGAGAGAGAAGAGGAACCACTAACGACTCTTGAAGTTATAGAAACAGTTAAAAACTGGCAGAAACAAATCACCCGAAATAAATAATCTTCCAGCTAACCTATATAAAGAAAGTAACCAAGATACCATAATGTCTCTGCAGCAGCTCAAAAGAAATTTGTGCACAGAAATACCTCACAAGCGATTGAAATACTTTACACCATACAAAAAAAGGGGGATATATTTGAATGCTTTAACCACAGAGGAATTACGCTTCTAAATGCAGCGTATAAAATATTTTCTACTATATAATAATAACTCAACTCAATATTGCACTCAATATATCTAAATGCAGCGTATAAAATATTTTCTACTATATAATAATAACTCAACTCAATAATATATTCAAAATTTTAGAAAAAACACTGGAACATGACATAGATACTCATCACATATTTATAGACTACAATGCAGCCTATGACTCTGTAAATAAACTAACTCTTGAAAAAGTTGAATGTAAAGTGCGAATCCAGGGGGAACTGTGTGAACCTTTTAAAACAAATATCGGACTGCACCAGGAGTCCCTTTCTTCTGTATAAAGCTCTATCTGGCTGTGGAAAAAGTAATACTGTGTCACAAATCACAACCACCTGTTCAATATATAATAAATTATTGCAAATCCTTGCCTATGCTGATAATATTAATGTTGTTGGGAGAAAGAATCAGCTACAAAATGGATTTATTAATAAACACCAACAAAATGAAGTATATGAAAATAAGCACGCAACCACAAATTCTATGCCCCTTCTTATAGAAAACGAGGTAATTGAAGCAGTGGACGAATTTGTATACATGGGAGCCCTCGTTAACACTAAAAATAATACTACCACAGAGATAAACCGCTGAATTTGCACAGCTAACAGATGCTATTTTGGGCTCAATCTCCTTAAATCTTCAACTATATCGAGAAATACAAAAGTAAAACTCTACAAAACAATAGTACGCCCAGTCCTAACGTATGGTTCAGGCACCTGGACTCGAACAAAAAGTAATGAAAACGTGTTGGGAAGTTTGAAAAGAAAAGTACTAAGGCTAGTACTAAAAGTACGATGGAGCGGTGAATAACAATGGAGTGTGGAGAAGACGATACAACTTCGAACTTTATAGAACCTACCAGGAACCAGATATTGTAAAACATTAAAATAGGACGTCTGAGCTGAATAGGACATTTAATGCGGATTGAACATTCCATGGCTCTTGGTTTTTTGAAAGTAAACTCATGCTTAGCCATTCCGTTGGCATTTCTTCAGAGTTGTATATATGTTGTTGAGTTTCTTTGCGATTATTGCTATTGATTCGTTGTCCATTAGGAATAGTTGTCCAAATCACTTGCAATTCTTTACCAAAGTGCCTAAAGTTTAGGGTGGATGCTGGATGTTGTTTAATCGCTTTGACATTTCAGTGCAAACGTGTTCAATACAATTTATGTTTGGTGGGCCTGATAACCGATTAATTTTTTTTATTTCATCATATTGTATCCTTTCATTTACAATTTTGTACGGAGGAAGCGGGCATTATCATAGAAAAAAAAACCGAATCTTTCACATATTGTTCCAAGTAGGACACACTTGTCTGCTCTATAACTCTGTCCCGATGTATCATAGTAGTTTTCATTTTACTCATGAAATTACACATCCATTATACGTGTACAAACGGAATCTTGACTCATCAGAAAACAAATAACTTTAAAAATTCAAGATACTGCCTTTTCTGTCCACGTTAATCTGTACACACGCTACTGCACGTTCAGTATAGTGTGTGTACTTTTCGAGTAACCTGCCCTAAAACGCTGTTTCTTATTAAATCTGTGTAATTTATGTTTATTTTGGAAATCATGAATTTAATTTGAGTTGTAACTCACTCTCCTCTTCCTCCATACGCGAAGGCTGCACTTCATGTTGTTAAAAACCGATTCCATGCTCTACTCATGATATTGCTACATTCAGTTTGGTTCTAAAGTTATTTTCTTTTTAAAGGCTTTTTTATGTCATTTACTGGTTTTAACTTGAAATAACCATAATTTTATTTGAAAATACGTTTATTTTGACCTTTCGATTTCCACTTTGGAAATTTCCGATTTCCGAAGCCGAAATAAAAACGTCAAAAAAGAGAGTAAACTGCTTTCATTCGTCGAGCGATTTCTTGACTCATACTTGTTCAATATACCAATTTCTCGAGTTGCACAGTTCTTAGTCGAAGTAAGGCATATTTGTAATACGAATTCTCCAATTAATTGTTATTAATTAGGTAATCAAACGATTAAGAGCACTTTTGTTTAACTGAATTGATATCATTTCAAAAAATATTCACTATAATTCCTGAGTTGTACTATAAAAGACATTTCTTTCGTGAGTACTTTTAAATGAAAAAAAGCAATTCTCATTTTACATTAAAAATATAGAGAAGTTAGAATTATCCATTTCAGTTGTTGAGGTGTGTACCTAGATAGTATTTTCATTCTTTATATCCAAATATCGCATTTAGTATTTTCTTTTTCACTGTGTGAATATTACTTTCTTTTCATTACTGATACTTTTTGTGTTACATTTTGTTTTTATGATTAAATCATGCATGGTGTTTTTTAGGGTACTACAGAAAACTGATAAACGCTTTTCTAAGGATAAGAGGTGATAAGTATAATAAAGACAATTACGATAATAGAGTGATATATGATGGTGCTAATGGTGTAGGTGCTAAGAAGGTAAAATATTTAAGGGAGGTTTTGAAAGATAGTCTTCTTGTCGAAATGTACAATGATGAAATAATTGGATCAGGGAAACTAAATCATTTGGTAAGACCTTTAATAAAATAATATTTACATGATTTATTTTATATTACAACAATTATAATATATTGGGGTTTTAACTAACAATATTAGATATGCCGATGACGCCGTAATATATTCCATATACTCTGTCCGTTGGTTCTTCGCAGTTATCACTAAATTTATGCGACTTGAATTAAAACTTATGTCGTTGATTTAAGCAATAGAAATGGTTAACATCTTGATGAAGGTTTTGGAAGTTTTTTTAATATTGATTTTCCAATTTTTGGAAACGTACAGATGGTCTAAACTCAACGTTTATACCAAAGTAGTGTTTAATCGATGATAATCAGAATTACGGGAATTGCTTTCATTACTTATGAACAAATTAGTGGGTTATTAATCGAAAAACGGAATATCGATTTTTCGACGGATGTTTCAATTTGTTCAAATATTATTAAATATCCATTAAATTCTAAAGATGGTTGAAGCAGGCAAGCTAAAGAAGAGTGGTTATCTGCAGAATGCCCTGAAATGGAAACATTTGACTGACAACACAATTCATTCAATTTAGACAATAACCAGATTCGATCAAAATATATGGTTTAAGCAGAGACAGAGGCAGAAGAATTTTCACATAGGTATAGTTGTGGCAAAAACTGACAACTGGCTGGCAACAACTGAAGAAAAGAAGCTTAAATCATAACATCAATCATAAAGGTATTCTGAGCTGACAGGAGGATTTGAACATCAAGGATCAAAACTGTTGCTGGCCTTTGCTGATGATATAGCTGCAGTCACGCATTGTACAAGAGACGTGAGGGAGGTGTTTTCACAGCTCGAGGAGAAAACAGGTAGTCTGGGTCTCCGAATAAATGAAGAAAAGACGAAATACGTGGTAGTAACCAAAAATCCAATACCAAGAGTTCAGAACATCAGCATTAATGATCACAACTTTGAAGTACTAAAGGAGTTTAAATACCGGGGGCGATAATCACAGCTGAAAACCATACAGAAAAAGAGGTCTCAGCAAGGCTAGATGTGAGAAATAAAGCATTATACTCCCTTTCAACATTATTAACACGTTCAGCTCCGTCTCTTTTTTTTTAAGGGAAAACAGTGGGCAACTGAGATGTATTTGTGTAAACTAATTAATTTTTAAGGTACAATTTAAAAAGTCATTTATAATAAATATGGGTTCAAAAAAATTAATTTAGTCACAAAAAAAACTCACCGCGTGAATCGCGTTGGTGGCCACAGGACAGAAAATGTGTCGGTTGAACTAAAAAAAAATAATAATCTGATTGAGAAAAGATATAATTATGAACCTAGATAACTAACATAAGTAATTAAATGGCAACAACATCAAGAAAACAAAATAAATATCTAATTTTTAATTTCTTCATGAAAACGTCTAAAACAATTTTCTAAGCACAATCCCGGATGTTCAGAGCACTCCGCACAATAAAACAATGAGTCCTTTCTTTCTTTTTTAGTTTGCCAGCAATATTTATACCGTCGTCCTTTTGTAATACCATTAGCTGATTTAGGGCAATGGGATGGCAAATGAAACATCAAATTTTTCTTGACTTGAGGGATTTTTGGGTTTGGTCCCAAAAGACTATCAATCGCCGACAATAGAAAGTCGTACAATGACATTTTTGTATTAGAATTATTATAGAAATAGTATGCGTTGATTAGCATAATTTGAAAAATATGTATGCCTATTTTTTTGTACCACCTCATAGTTTTGTGTTCGCAACTATAATAATTTAACATCTGGTCGCCTAAGTCAATGCCACCTTTATTTTTGTTATATTCAGCGACTAAACGAGGCCTTTCTTTATCAATTCCTTTCCTAGATATTGTTAAAACCATTTCATGACCAAATTCGGAAGAGATCATTAAAATATCTCGCTGATCTTTCCATTTACACACACATATCCCTTTATTATTGTAAGCACTCACCAGTTCATTTTGTTTTAATTTTCGAGAAACAACTTCGTGTGGATTTTCCGCTCTTCCTGTTCTCAATGTTCCTGTAAGATAAGTTTTAATCGAAAGTAGTTTTTTACACAATGGAACACTATTATAAAAATTATCCATATATAAGGAGTGACCAACATTTAGTTTCGAATCCATCAAATTTAGCACTACTTTTTCCGTATGATTACGTCCTCCAACTACGGGGCCACTAGCTCCACTATAAACTAATATGCGTTGAATCATCCCGGTACATTCTGCCAAAGTATACAGTTTGACTTCGTTTCCATAAAATCATGATTCGTTCAGGGCTAATTTTCTTTCTGGGTAATAAAGATTTTCCATTTTATTATTAAAAAAATCTAACAATGTAGATATCGTGGCAAGTCTGGACTGGTTATTGTCACTAATATTGTTAAAATGTAAGGCACGCAAAATTAACATAAAGCGATTTCGGCTCATGTATTGTCCAAACACTGGAATGCTAAATAAATGATTTTTCTTCCAATCATTCATACGATTAATTTTATGGTTCCCATGTGAAACAACAAACCAAGAAAAAATTTAAATTCTTCTACAGTTATATACTTCCAAGCTGCAATTATACTTTTCTCAGATTTACTTAGAGAAAGAATATCAACGGCATATAAATTGATATTTTGAATAATCAGGTCATAGAATAATTCACATGCCAATAAATTGAAGTAATCAATAGGATTGCTGTCACCCACATTAATTTTCAATCCTGGTATTGCTGTAAATGAGCAATTGAGACTCATCATCACCATCATGATTTTAAGATTCTTCTTGTAAATCAGGATCATCTGTCCGATCATCTTCATCACAATATAAATCTTTATCACTTGCGTCACTATCGTTATGTGAATTTTCTAATATGTGTAATAATTCATCATCTGAGATTGGCTGAGAAGTTTCCCACCTACCTCGTTTAGAAGTCGAAGGTTGGCAATATTCATCACTCATTATAAAAATAATTTAAAATTGAAGTATTTAACAAAACACGTGCAATGACTAACAGTAAAACCAAAAAACATCCAACACCGAAGGCATAGAAAATATTACTGAATGCATAGCAAAATAAACCGACGGGATTGGATTGTGATAATACAACAAATTATTGGAAATACAATATAATCAAAATACATCTGGTGATTCTTTCAAAGCTTACCGATGCTTTTACTTTTATTACTTTACAACCTTTTATTACAGCTAATTTTGTCGTTTTCGAGAACGTCTAGCTTGAATATTTAAAACGTAAGCAATGAAATTTAGGGTTTCATATTTTTTCATCCAATTTATCAATGGGACAGCAGATATTTGTTATAATTTGTGAAAAATCCGCCAAGATAACATTCATACATTGTCATATACTCAGAATAAAGTTTAACATCAAAATTCGAAAACCAATTACAAACTCCAGTATATGCCAGTATTTCCAAGCGGCCAGCAGATATTTGTTGTAATTCGTGAAAAATCCGCTGAGATAACGTTCATATATTGTCATATAGTCAAAGAATGCGCGACTCGCGTTGGTGGCCTCTGAGGCTATATTCACTGAACGCGACAGTTACGTTGTCGGACTTGAACGTGTTAAGATCAAAGCTGCTAAAAATAAAATCTAAATTAACACTGTACAAGTCGATTATTCGCCCAATTGTTACATATGGCAGTGAAACATGAACTCTTAACCAGCGGGAAATCAATAAGCTTCTAGTATTTGAAAGAAAGGTTCTCTGAAAGAATAATATTTGGCCCTCAAAGAGATGAATTCACTGGGGATTGGGGAAAACGTCGCAATGCTGGATTTGTGACTCTGTATGGAACTGAAAACATAGTTAGACATATTAAGGCAAACCCAATAAGATGGGCAGGTCACGTGCTACGATCAGAGGATGACAAAGTGTTGTTAAAGACAGTATTTTTGAAAGACCAGATGATAGAAGATCAGTAGGCCGACCGAGAAAAGGATGGAAGGATGATGTTGAAGCCGATTTATCTAAAATTGGAGTACAACAATGGGAAATAGAAGCGCAAGATCGTAGAGGATGGAGGGCGATAGTGGATACAGCGAAGACTCACCCCGAGTTGTAAAGCCAGTGAAGAAGAAGAAATTTTGTTTGTTTCACTATACACTCTGCCAGCATTCTATGTGGATTCTTTTAATAATCAATATCTGAATCTTGATGAATTGCGAATACTCTTCAACTTCACTCCCATAAGCAGGCAGCTGGACATGTTTTACCTTCTTGTGAATAAGAGATAAATTGGAAATTAAGGAAACCATATTAATTGATTTCTCAAAAATAAAGCACAAAAACTGCCAGAGATACAACTATATCGGCAAAGGTGTACTCAAGCAAAAAAGCGTCGCTCGTACCGGGACAATCCGGTACGACATGATTGGTCCAGCGCAAAAATTAGAATCAGAATGCCAAGACGATCTCCGAGACAATACTCTTTAGCCGGTGAAAAAATTTTAACGCAAAAAGATTTCGAAATTTTCGTGCCGATTTTGATTGAAAACTTCGACATTTTTTTAAAGCCCATGTGGGACTGACAGAGAATAACGAAATAAAGTACCTATCTGGGTAGAGTCATCTGGCAGTACAAACAAACATTTAGATTATGATTCTCCTTCCAAGGTTTTTAGAGACAATTTTCAAAGTGGTAAAGATCTTAATATAAATTATATGATATTCGGATATATATATATATATATATATATATATATATATATAAAATACTACACTATTGAAGGATTAGAAATCTAAGTAGAATAAAGATTTCTTCAGAGGCGTAGAAGGTTGGGTTTACCGAAAGTACAAGCTGATTATAGCCGCAAATGTCAAACATGGAACAAAAACTTTCGGTTTGGGAGTGTTGGCACGTTTTAATAATGTAGATTATGTATGCTTTAAATATAAAATGATAAAGCTTTAGAAAAGTACATTTTGTTTAGATTATGTTATGAATTCTGCAATTTTTGATTTATATAAAACAAGAATGAGTAAATATTTGATGGATTCGACCGTTACTTGATGGAAATTCATTTTATGTAATAACAAAACACTGAAAACTTTGTTTTCAAACTTCCACAAAATTTATTTTAACTATTATCACTACAGCTGTTTCGGCTGATTGCCTTTCTCAAATTGTAAACGCATGCCAAAAATAGATCACTTGAGAAAGGCAATCAGCCGAAACAGCTGTAGTGATAATAGTTAAAATAAATTTTGTGGAAGTTTGAAAAGAAAGTTTTCAGTGTTTTATTGTTACGAGTAAATATTGGTTTATTTGGAGATTAATTGCAGTTAGTTATTAGAAATTTTTTTGGCAATTGCCCTTTGATAGATTAGGGAATAGATTTGGCAATCTTCAAATCAGCAGTTGCCATAGTGCAACAGATGTTTGCAAATTATTCTCGAGATAGACAAATATTTTACTCGTTATTGTTTCATATAAATTAAAAATTGCAGAATTCATAAAATAGTATAATCGATATGTACACTTCCCGTCATATAAAACTGGTACACTTTTTTTCCCAATGTAAACCTGTGTTCTGACTAGACACTTTGGTTAGTGAATCAATTCGTTGTTGCTATCACAGATAACGGAATTACACTAAATCTAAATAAAAAAATAACGTTCAAAAATGTGTAAAATTTTTAGATAGGTATTATTTTTATCATTAACAACAAAAAACCGTGTCTAATAGATTTAATAAACAGAGATAGGGTTGAGTTAATATCCAAAATATTTGAAGGATCTTTAAACCTAGGGTATTGGTACAGGGAACATTGGAATGCATCTACTGTAATTTTATACTTCAATTACCTACCAAACACGAACTGTATTTTGTGTAAATAAGTTTTGTAACATGCAAACTACCAAGATTAATTTATTTTTTATTACAAGAACGATAAAAAATGTAAAAAACTAATCCTACGTATTATAAACTATAAAATATTCGGGGCGAAAAAACGCTTTTCAAAACTTGACAGTTACAATCCAATATCTCACTGTAATGTTTTATTATAATAATTTAAAGTTATGTCTAGATTGATTATCTATCATTATTTTTGAATTGAAATATTTTCATAAATTGTTATAAATCACAAATCATTGTAGGGGTACTTAATTGAAATGATGGAAAATTATAAAATTAATATGAGAACTTTTTAGGATGAATGTTTAAACAAATTTAATGTGACTGACTGATCGAGAATGCTCGATAATGTTTTAGTTTTTAGTCAAACTGGCGGTCTGTCACACAACACTGCTTTTAGCTGGTTTCATATAATATTTTCGTTGAACTGGCAAAAGTTCCCTAGAAATTAGAATGACACATGTGATAAGATCAACGGACACAACTTAAAAAACACGATTTTTGATTATAAGAGTTGTACCAGTTTTTTATGACGCGAACGGTACATTTTAAAAGCCTTCTCTCTTTATATTTGAAGCATATAACATATGCATTCTAAAAAACATCCCAACACTGCCAAACCAAAATATTCTAATTCTTGGTTGACATTTGCGGCTATATTCAGCTTGTATTTTTACTGTTACGCCGGTAAATTAGATCGGTGTAGAATTTAAAAAGGATACTAGGAAGAAACTTTTTGTTACAATTTAATATATCCTTAGCTATGTAAACATTTTGCAAAATATGTTCTATCTATCTTTATCTATTTAAATATGTATTCTATAGTGTATATTATCTTTTAGTGTGGTGCAGACTACGTCAAGTCTCAGCAAAAATTTCCTAATGGTCTTCCCAAAGAGAAAAATGTTCGTTGTTGTTCTGTAGATGGCGACGCCGATCGTATTGTGTATTATTACCTTGACGATAATGAAAAATTCCATCTCTTAGACGGTGATAAAATAGCTACCTTGGCTGCTGCTTATCTTAAGGAAATCTTGCAAAAGACTGGTTTGAAATTGAAAATAGGGTTAGTTCAGACCGCGTACGCTAACGGAGCGTCGACTGAATACATATCTAAAAATTTAGTAAGTAAATCCTATATTTTATTTTTTTTTATTTTCGATTTCTGTATTTCTACTGGATAAAAGTTTCACAAACTACAAGCACATAGAAATAAATCAAGGTGTATGAAATTTGTCTTTAAAATTTGAAAGCATTGTCGATAATAATTATCGAAAGTTGTACTTTAATGGCTGCTCTCCATACCAGTGTAGAAGTCGTCACTGTTCATTTCTCCATGGTAATTAGATAGTTTGGGTTTTAAAGAATATATCACTTGTGCACCGTCAATAAATCCATCCTCACTACCAGCATTTATTATAATATATTTGTAAAAAAATTTTTTTTATAAACTTAATAAACCGAATGCTGATAATAATAATATATAATTAACGAATTGGCCAATGTCTTAAAAATAAAGTTTTCTTTACTGCAATATTAGGAAATCCACGCCTTGGTGAATCTTTTTCACGCAATAGATAACAATAATCAACAGACAAACAAAATTTTTACTATAGAGCGTTCCACGTTAAGAAAATAACATCGCGAAGATAGGGCCATGTATTTCTTATGGACGATAGAAGCACAGCGATGGGCCACGACAAATACAAGCACGATTCAGGGTTGTATAATTTGTATTTTCGTTTCCACAGATATGAATTAAATTAATGTTTTTTAACGTAATTGACCAAAAGTGCCGATTCGAAACAAGAGATGAAAAGTAAGGAAAATGATTTTAATTAAATAAATAGTATTTACAAAAGATAATTTTATATCTTATTTTAATTATAGTAACGACAGTTTATTTGTTTTTCGGTGAGAATACCATATGCCATGAGTTATGAGTAGAGAATATTGCTTAGGTAAATCATGCATTTTGCCGGCTATTAAAGATTTAAAAGCAAATAAACGGACCGCTTGGAATGCATATATCTAATTACAAATTGCAACTTAAAATAATACGGTGTGCTTATGTCAGCGATTTTATGTCGTTCGATGACTACATAATAATAATAAGACTTTGTAGTTCTTTAGTAGTTATTCTGACTTTACAGTTAAATGTTAATTGAAAATGGAAATTTAAAAATTAAGCCAAGGGAATATCTTGGACATCCGTGCAAAACAAATTGTTTTAAATGTATTTAATTATTATCTAAACTTAAGAATAACCGATAAAGTTAGTGCTATTACGGGAGTAAGTTTTAGTACTATTTTTAAAATACGCAAAGAAGCTGCGGAAGGAGGACTAAGGCCCATAAAAAAAAAACAAGAAAAAGTACCAAAAATAAAGTGAACAGCAGAAGGTTACGATGCAGTAGTTCAGACGCGGCTACGTGCCATTGTGCATAGTTTTTTCTTTAAAAATTTACCGCCGACATTGAACAAAGTTTTTGCACTGGTTAAAAAAGACAAAGATTTAGCAAACATGTTACGTACAACAATGTGGAGAATACTGCATGAAATGAACTTTGTTTTTTTTTGAAAAATGAAAAAGATGGAGTAACAACCCTGTAATTGGGATACCTGTATATTTCAAAATAATTTTAAAATGTAGCTTTTATCAACTTACAAACTAATAATTTAAATTTTTTTAATTTTTTTACTTTTTCACTGTAATCTTTCGTTCCGTTAATGGTAATTCACCCTGTATACAAGGAAATTGTATGTATGTAATTGTTGTTATTATATAATTAAAGCGTTAATCAATATGTAATGTTAAACAATAGTGAAATTTAACTATTTTTATTAGATCTATAATAAATGCATACCTATATCTGACAATTAAAGAAACAGCAATTTATAATGCATTATTTTGTATTCAACTATACATATCCTTTTATTAGTGAAATTAATTAACTACAACTACGCAGTGCTGAATACGGCTCTGATTAGAATGAATCATATATCGACAATCTAATAACAACGCATGCCTAAGATTTTGGCAACACTGATCTCCATAGGCGTTATGTTATTTTCTTAACTTGAAACAAAGTATATTAACATTATAATTTATCGACCACACTGTCAGCATTTATGCCAATTCCCCAAATGTCATTGTCATGTGAATTATACTCGTATCAGCGTTGTACGGTTTTCTAATATATTAAATGAAAATTATTTTTTTGGAGTACTAAGCTAACGATTGTTTCATTACATTATAGTATTAATAATAAATGTTTTTGGTTATTTCTTCAATATGATTCTAAAATTCCCAGTGTAATGACGATTATATTTTTCTTAATATAATACCATGTTGACGCTTATAAAAGATCGAGCAGCTCCGTAATGGTGTCATATTTTTAGCTGTGTTAGGGAAATTTTAACATAAGGTTGATGTTATGGAAATTTTAAATACAAGTGACGTCAGTTTGTATAAATCGTGACGTATAATATATAGTAATATACAGTATAAAGGTCGATTCAAACACATCAGTCACGTCTCGTCACAGTCCCGATGCCGAACCGAACAATCCGTCATAACAAAATATTCTTTAATAGAAATATGCCGCCGGCATTCACATTCATCAGTTGACGAACAGTTTCCTAGCTGTCAGATAATTAATAGTTCTGTGACCAAACAGGACCGGTTCGGCGCCGGGACTGTGACGAGACTGATGTGTTTGAATCGACCTTAATAAATAATTTCTATTATTTTGTTAATATTGTTTCTCTTTTAGAACGTACCTGTAGCTTGTGCACCCACAGGAGTGAAACATTTACATAAACTAGCTTTAACTTATGATATTGGTGTATATTTTGAAGCAAATGGACACGGTACTGTTGTGTTTAGTAATGAGGCGAAAAAAACTCTGGTTGCTGCTATGAAAAGTGATAGGTAATAAAAATAGTTTTTGTAACAATTTTCTTCATTACGTATTATTCAAACATTGGTTAGTCGAGAAATACATTTTTTTAATTATGTACCTGTTTCTCTATTCCTATATGAAAATATATCCCAGAAAGGGATACATGAGCAGATAGAAGCTCGGCAGTAAACACATTAACAGATCTTTCTACAATGGGACGCAGAAACAACAAAGAAGAGTACAGTACTTACCTGACTCTCCCTTAATTCTGAACCATAAGCATGGATAAAGAGGTATACATGCAAACATTTTGCTTCAAGGGAATGGAGAAAAAACGTTGAAATTTTAAATAAAAGACAGTTATTCGTATCATGTTTATATTTGTGATATCATATTTTGCAATTTATTTAAATAATACCTCTACGACGTAAGTTCATATATTGAGATTATGTGAAATCAGATGGTCTGGATCTGGTGAAATCGAAGGGGTCAAAGTGTAGTAATTCAAGGATATATAAGTCTATACGGCGAGGTTCTTCGCATTCCCGGATGACCTCGAGGTACTGGTAGTGGCCCGAGATAAGCCAGATCTCAAATACCGGGTTCGGAACGCAGGCCGCATCGTAAAGAAATGAATGACGCAGCACGGACTAAAACTTGCGACAGAGAAAACCGAAGCCATCATTCTGAAGGATACAAGAAAGGGGAAAGGAAGGGCCCAACATTGGACGACCCAAATCCGAAAGGTGGAGGGTCTTACACGGTGTTGTACAGTCGATGTGTGGTCGTTTTTTTGACCTATTCAGAACTACAGCATCAAAACACCAACCTCTTAGGCTGTTTAAAAGTATTTATGGTCATAAAATCTGTAATTGTTAAGATTTGCAACATCACACTCCATCATTTCTTCATGTGATTGTTTATATACAATCACCACAAAGATAAACTATCAATAAATATTATTTCTAAAATATGTGCCTAATCAGTTATATTTTTTTCAGTTTATCTAGTGAACAAAAAGCGGCATGCAATAAACTTTTAAATTTGATAGATTTAATTAACGAGACTGTAGGTGATGCAATATCCGATATGTTATTGGTAGAAACGATACTTCACGAAAGAGGATGGAACATTAGGCAGTGGGAAGAATGTTACACAGATTTACCTAATAGATTGATGAAAGTTACAGTTAAGGTCAGTATTCCTGTGTTTTGTTTGATTTTATAATATTTGGTGTTAAATTTTTAATGATTTTTAAATATATCAATACATTTTCTAACAATACAGTAAGATGATATAAAAATTTAATTGACAAAACTCGATATTTGGTACTATACTTTGATTTAATGCTACCTTGATACTGAGTGTTCAAAATTTGTTTGGTTTCCTTTGCTTATCCCTCTGAGCTACCTCAGAGAATAATAGTCATGGAATAGACAGCAGGCAGTAGGTTTGAAATGGAACTGGTAACAGTGCAGTATTAGTTACTTTCCGTTTTGACATTGTGTTGTTATTTGGTAGAAAAATGTTATACCTAAGTAGATGTATTCGTTGATTATTTTGAGAAAATCTCATATGATGACATATATAGAGTTACTCATATGAGTAACCTATTTAAAAGTAAGCTGAAATTAAGATTTTGTTAGTGTGAATGCACTTCACTAAGTTTGATTGGGAACTGAAGGCAGGTCGGACAACAATAATCGTTTCAGTCTACGCTTTCGGAAACGTCTTACACATGTAATTGTCTGGCTGGTGACCTGGCTTCTTTGACGAATTATATGGAGATGTAGTGCTCAATCACCTTATTGGGGACATAATATGGCGCATTGACTATGGCGCGAAGCACCTTGTTTTGGAATCTCTGTAAGGTATTTATATTAGAGACAGTGGTGGTGCCCTATAATTGGATCCCATAAGTCCTAATGTGTTTAAGGACAGACTTATATACATTTGGAATTTTATTACGTAGGATTTTTAATACAATTACTGAGATTCCCTGATTTGCAACTAACCAGTGTACATTCCTATATAACGTCGCGATGTTTTATAACTAATTTCTTTGTTCCACTGGATTACCTCTCCTCAGCGGTTTGTAGTAGCGTATGTGGCACGCGGAGAGTGTTTCTCCGTCTACCGATTTTTCCTGAAAGTCCGGTTTTGTGCAGATAATAAATAACGTTTTATTAAAATCAATTTTGTTTGTGTTCATTAGGTATTATTTGAGTTATAAAATTTATACCTTAATACATTTATTATTCCAAATATTGTTTATAATTTCAAATTAAAAATAGTAATATTATTATTTTATTTTTAAAATTTCTTTTTATTTTTATTTTAGAAACCTACTTTTTTTTAAGCCGTTTTGGCAATAAAAGATAACCATTTTTTTAGTTATAAAATATTTTTAATTCCATATCTACATTTATAAATAAGTACGTTTTCGTTCAATTGACATGCAATCTAGGTGTGTTCCGTTTTTACACTTACACTGGCGGCATCGCGGTGTGAATTGAGACTCCAGTCGAACAAATGAATTAATTATAAGACATCGCGACGTTGTATTAAAATTTACACTGGTTAATTGCACATCAAACGATCTGAGTTATTGTATTAAAAATCCTATGTTCCGTAATTTTTTTTCCAAATCTGTATAATAAAACTTTAAGGACAGTTTTGATTTGGTGCCAATTAGTCAATACATGTCACCTAATTTAAATCGAAGCTGTTTGTGTTTAGTGAATATATGTTTTTTACGTTAGACGGCGCTATGAATGCATGCCGAGATATTTGGTATCTTCGGATTGGGATAGTTGGTAATTCTCAATATACAGAAAGACATCTACGTAGCGTGAATGTTACGTAGAGTGATTTAGTTCCATTAGATTTTATGAGCCATATTTTTTATCATTACTGAATTCTATTTAGCTTGTACTGAATTGCCTTGTTTCCAGATATGATTTTAAGATCTGGAAATGAGGATAGGGTAGGAGCTTCGTTAGTTTAATTTGCAGTCCTGTGTGTCAAACCTCATCAAATATCTTAGATATGCCAAGGAAGGCAGCTGAGCAATATATTTTGGCGTTTAAGACTTTGTTTATTTGGTTGGTTAATTAGTCTATGCACTGTTTCTATAGTTTCTGCTTGTCAAATTGATGTTCTGGAATTATTTTATCTTTATCTATTACCATTTTTAGTCTTTTCACTTACATCTTGTCCAAGACTTTGCTGAGCATAGGCAGAAGGGTAGGAAGATAGATTTTCTGGCTTTTCTCCAGGTTTAACGATTATTAGGATTTATACCACCTTCTAGGTACTAGGGAAGTAGTTTAAAACGCAGAAATGCATTACATATTAATTAAAATTATTAGTTTTATGCACATATCCGACTTTCAGAATCTTGCTAGAGATTAGGTCAAAACTAGGGGCTTTTTATGTTGATTTATTTTATTATTGTTTGTTTTACTTAGTTTTTTGTAAATTACGTGTGAGCAGGTCCATTTGAAACGGTGTTGTTAGGAATTTGATTAATCCTTTTTTTTTCTTCTGAGAGTGTAGGAGGATATGACATAAATACGTTTTGAAGTTGCTTCCCAAAGGGATCAGCTTTGTCTTTATCGTTCAAAACCCAGTTATTCGGATTATCTTTATTAGGTGGGTTATGTTATTGGAGTCGTTTGAGATTTCTTGTAGCTTTCCAAAGTGAATAATCTGTAGCTTTGGTTGGAGATAGATTTTCTAAATATTCTTGAATTCTAAGGGTTTCTCCTTTATGGATTAATTCTTTTAACTCATTTAGTGCTTTATTCAATTTTTTTTTAGTTTCTTCTGTTCTTGATTGTTGCCAATTTTTTCGTAGCTGTCCTTTTTCTGTAATATTTTGTTTAATTGTGAGAGTCACATTGTTTCCTTTTGGGGGTGACAGGTAGTCAGGAGTAGCGTGCCAAGCTGATATTCTTTTTTGTTAGACCCACGGCCTCTGATGCTATTTAAAGCTTATTTTTAAGGTCAGATTAGCGAGATCAAGTTGTCTAATTTTTCTCTAAATTAAGACCAGTTAGTCCCACTGTTATGAAAATTGGATTATTGCTCTTTGTCAAAGATTTTTGCGGATATTGATATTTATATCGATGATTTTCGTGGTGCAGAAGTCTATGACATTAGTTAATTTATTTTAATCAGACGCCAGTAGGTTGGTTCGCCAGTAGATCACTGTTTTCCATTGCTTACAATAACTAATTCTCTACTTTTCGGTGTTCCTAGTCTAGATCCTCACATCAGGTGTTTGAATTATAATCTCCACCTGAAATTAATTTATGAACGATTTTCTTAACTAACTAAAGAAATCTCGAATTTTGACAAAAATAACAGCATTGTTTAATAAATACCTTTTTTCAGGACCGCACTGTTGTAACCACAACGGACGCAGAACGAATATGTGTCTCTCCAGATGGACTCCAAGATGAAGTAAATTCGATAGTGTCTAAATATTCCAAAGCAAGATCCTTTATTAGAGCTTCGGGTACAGAAGATATAGTTCGAGTGTATGCCGAAGCAGCGACTAAAGAAGAAGTCGACAAATTAGCAAACGAGGTTGTTAAAAAGGTGTACGAATTTGCGGGCGGTATAGGACCGATACCTGAGATACCTAATTGAAACGATTTAGGTATATATAAGGTGTCCCAGATTTGAATGGCAATCAGTTTGTGTATAATAAGCTATTGATATTTAAAAGAAACAAGAGGGTACTTTTTTGATGAAAGGTAAAAAAATAATATTGATTGGATTAACTTTTAACCTAATATTCATGAGAACATTAATTTGACTCAACAGAGATTACCTTGACTCACAAGAATGGTCAAAGTTATGATCACTATCGTCTTTTCTTACTTTTGCGTAATTTTCACCGCTTATGCATTAGGCCACCGTTTTCACTCGACGAAGTATTCGGTGTGTGGCCTAGATACATATTCTTTGAAATTAAAAACACAATGCCAAATCCCCTCCATATTATTATTTACATTTCTATATTTTTACCTTTTATCTTTCTAGTTTTTTATTAAGAAATCATTGATTTTATATTTTTCCATTTTGGAAGTAGGATTTTTCACATTTAAAAATCACTAGTTTTTATTATATATTTCTTAATTCACAAATACAAGCTTTTCGATTGTGCTGAACTGTACAAACTAAAATTGCTGTATCTATTGACGTATAAACGACGCAACCCAAATGTGAAAGAATTTTAGTTGTCATGGGATTTTTATTGAAATTGATTCCTGTAAATCTGGCTTTGGCCAGTGACGTTACAAATAATATTAAGGGCAAAATATATTACTTTTATGTTTTTAAAATTGTATTAAACAATATAAGCAGAGCCATTTGTTGCCACAACACTTTCCGATTTCTTCCAATCGTGGCATGTCACAATATTAAATGTCACATGTTTTCATAAATGTTTAATTTTTAACTCTTTCCTAGTAAACTTACCTTAGTCCACGGTTTACTGGCTAAAGTGAGAAGGCTCAAAGAGTTTTTAATGGGTGTTTAAGTCATCTGTTTCGGTAGTCATGGCAAAACATTTATGATGTTCTGACTTACTCTCTTAATTATTCAAGCTGTGAACTACTAACGGATTTACGAGTTTACCAAACTCAACTCATTCCTTAGATGTTAAATTCTCAGCTTTTAACCGCCTATTAACGTTCCAGCACATTTCATTGTAATCTATACTCAACTAAGCGCCGATGAGTAAGCTACAAGAAACTTTGAAAGTCAATGTGTAGCTTACAACCAACGATCTCACTGATACTAACCAGCTCAGAAGTTCTCAGAGGTAAATTCGACCTTCACCAAGAGATACAGTACCAAATTGTAACAAAATAATTCAAGAAATATAGTGAACAAAATACAAGAGGTGCCTTACGTCGAGATCATCGGTAGTTAATTAGTAACAATATAAAAAGTAAATTTGGTAATTAACAATAAAATAAAAGTGAAATCAAATAGAAATATAGCAAATAATAGTCAGTTGAGAATTCTCCGATAGGAAGTTGTTGTCTTCTAATTTCAACATGAGATAAAGCTCGTAGTTTACTGGACATTGTGGATATAGATATTCTTATATTGAGGTCTAACCGTACTAATCCCGTATTGTCATGGATCCCAGAAGTATATGGTGAAACAAAGCTTCCTTGTTATGAATTTGGAATGTTTTTTCATTGGAGAAGACCACATTTTTTTTATAACTCCTATCGATGGATGGAATTCATTTGCACTCTGCTCTACTGCGCTTGTTTTCAATGAATTTGAGCTGTTCTGAGAGATCTTGGGAATAATTTTTCTACTCGTGCTTTCACAGCGTTTTAAATCGATTTTTAGGAATATATTCTACGAGAACCTTATCATTTTCATTAGAGAATTTCCGTATATCTTGAATTAACGATTTCGGAATTCTTTTTGTTTTTGCCAGCGTTTATTAACGTAAATAATGTAACGTTACTGACATTTTGTTTTAGCCCTTGACTTTTTGAGCCTCCGTTAAATGTTATGACTTGAAAGGGAAGTGTAAATTTGAGTAAAACGGAAAATATTAAGTATATTTCTAACAGTTGTTTTTAAAACTTCCTGTTTAGTCACCTCGTAAAATGTATAAGTATAGAAAAATACACCTTTTGTAAATATTCATTTATCAATAATTTGCTAGTAATTTGACGAGCTTGAGAAATATTTTTTGTATTTATCGTCAATTAGTGAATATTATATATGCCTTCCTATATCTATATATGTATATGCATAAAAAAAATTGCACAGTATTTTTGAAAATAAGAACAATAAGTGAGAGCTTGGCCTAAAAGTATGTGAAGTCCCTGATAAAAAATATTTTTCGTAAAAGTCAGGAAAATCCCAATTTGTGGAAAGAAATTAAAAAGCTGTAGTCCCTTGAAAAATTACAGTTTTTCCTTTTCATATTTTTTCCTATAAAAAAACACTGTTCATATACAGGGCCATTTTATATTTTTATGTTCATTATATCTATATCTTATCGTATTCCCAATGATTTTTGTAAATCAGCAGATGTTTTACTCACTTAAATATCAGCACCATAATAATACAATAGATAATACAGCAATACTCTTGCCAATATCACATTTTTGCAGTAGTGAATACACTTGCCTTAATAGAATAAATTTAATATGTTTTTATGGATATATATTAGATCCTTTGACATTTAACCTTCTACATAAACCTTTAAATTGCCACAGAAAAATATACGACCTTGACCTCATAGTTCATATAATCCACAATGTTTTATGAAAACTTAAAACGCCGAGAGCGATGTGGTGAACATATTCCATCAATGAAAGTACGCTTATTTAAAGTAGCTGATTGTAGGATTGTCTGGTTCATAAATATGTAGAGATGTTTAAATTATATTTTTTTAATAAAGCATATTAAAAAATTATAATTTAAAAAAAATCTGTTTTTTATAGCTACGGGCCCTCTTATATGTCGCGTTAGTATCGGCCCAACTGGACAATGGCACTACCAGGGAGTAAATTATACGAACAACATTGCCGTTAGCGAATTCGCGTTATCCCGACGTCAAGCGTTGCTAGCGCCGCCGGTGGCGTTCGTACCGCACAGTTTGTAACAAAAATAGAAATGGGCGTTTAATGCCAATGTAACAAGAGTATACAAGTATACAAATAGTATACTGTAATAAGGTACAAATTATTGTGTACAACCCAATTTGAATGTACACAATAATTTACGACTCCTTCGTAAAGGGCATATGCTAAATCGTACGTGTTCAGTTTTTTGTATTCCATCACTGTATATGTTAAATATCTGTGTAATTCCAATATCGTGCTACTTAAATTGTCAATAACTACTTATTAGTGTGATGCAAATGTATGCAGTTATTGACATGTTCAATTGAGATTGAAATCAACAGCTTGATTGATTTATTCACGAATTAAATCTCTACACTACTCATGTACTCAGCTGGATTACCGACATAAAAAAAACATCAAAATTATAACAAAGTGTACTGGAAATATCACACTCACTTGACATAATGAATCAGTATTTAATTCTCAACTCTTGCTTTATATTTGTCGGATTGTACAAGTCGATGAACATCTTACAGTACAATAATATGTACCTATGTACACTTTATTATATTCTTATTAATTATTAACTTTGATATGCCATTAGGAATTATTGATTTTTGCACAATGAATTCATTTTAAACTGATTCGTTTAAATAAATGAAGGTTCATTAATATTTATTTTATTTATTTTATAGAATAAAAATTTCATTTATAATTTTTATTATATTAGCGCGTTTTATATATATGACCAAAAGTGTTATTGTACTCTGATATTTAGCAAAATATCGTATAATTTTATGTAGTATTTATTACATTTTATTTTCAACCGGATATACGTATATTTAAGCTAAATTATCTAAGTTTTAAAGGTAGTGAGTTTAAACATCTTTGTAGATTGCGTGAGGTCTTATAGGCTATTTAGCTTTTTGCACTTCAATTTGTGAATCTGTACATCCCTACGATTCTTCACGATTTAACCTAAATTAGTACATATAATCTAACCTGTTTTATAACTAGATATTTCCATATCAGTAAAGAGGCGCAAATTGTGTAGCAGTTAGTTAAATACCTACAAGATGTAGACATATGTGGATTTAAAAGCTAAAATTTAATTTATTTTTTTAACCTGTAGGTACATTGCATTTACTAAAATATATAAAGTTCTCTACCTTTAAAAGGATGTAAAGTTCTTCTTATACATTTATTTATATTTATTATTTGCTCCAGCTTTTGAATAAATATTGTTAATCATGTAAATATTTACATATAAACCATTTTGAAATATTTAAATAACACAAAGTGTTAAGATGTATTTATAGACTTTGTAATGATTTTTCTGAATTTGTTATATTGATTATATATTGTTTATAACCCTATTTTAAGAGTTTTATTATTTTTTATTTATTCTATGATACTGAGTGTCTACGACGATTTGTTCACTTATAAATCTTATATAATTCAAACGAAAGTTTTAAAAAACAAAAAAATCTTCGTCATATTCTCTGTTCCACTGATTTAAATAAAGGCAATATACAGTATTGCAGGTAATTTTTGAATTTAGTGTACATATTTTTGCATGGTCTATGATTATCATTAAAAACACAGAACTACTGATATTAAATTACATAGTACAGCTCCTTTTCATTTAGTCATTCAGAATGGACGTTAAACTATAGGTGTCCTATATATGTGTACACTTAATGATACACAACATACATATATGCAGCTCAGCGGCTTCGGTATTCGTATATTGGATATTGTAATAAAAGATTAAGAAAACCAGTAACAATAGAAGATTTTCTAACTAAAAAATCATATTCATCATCATCATTCTGGCAATAAAACCCGACGTGGGTCCTACCCTCCTCAAGAATTTCTCTCTATAAACCCAGGTGTACAAATTCGTTCACTGCTTCGATGACGTCGTGTTCTATAACAAGTGGTCGTAGGATTTGTGGTTGCGTGTTTATTTTCATATACTTCGTTTTGTTTGTGTTTATTATTAAATCCATTTTTATAGCTGATTCTTAGCTCTGATATATAATGCTATATACGCCTCTCGTACAGCATTTTCCGTTCTCCCAACAATATTGATATCATCAGCATAAGCCAGGATTTGCACTGGTTTATTAGATATTAAACCAGTGGTTGTGATTTGTGACATACGTATTACTTTTTCCAGAGTCAGATTGAACAGTATATAGGAGAGAGGGTCTCCCTGGCATAGCCCGTTAATTGTTTTAAAAGGTTCAGACAGTTCCCCCTGAATTCGTACTCTACATTCAACTTTTTCAAGAGTTAGTTTTGCTAAACTTTACCAACTGATATGGTACTCCTAGCACGTTCATTGCTTTGAACATTTCTCTTCTATTTACAGAGTCGTAGGCTGCTTTGTAGTCTATAAATATGTGATGAGTGTCATTGCCATATTATTCCAGTGTTTTTTTCCAAAATTTGCCACCTCTGCAACGAGCCTAGTATTTTCCTACTATCTGTTCTACATATGGTGCCATACGATGACATAGTACTGTGAAAATCATATTTAACTCACATATAAATGGTAGAAAAATATAACATTTGGTTCACATCTTTTTCCGTACCTCCATAGGAGTATTAAAAATGTACAATGTGACTTGTATACATCTTAGGCTGAAAAGTATGCGTGGTTCGATTATGTAAGATTTAACAATTTTCAGATGATCAATTTATTTATTCGAAAATAATGTGAACAAAACAAGTTGTAAACGTTTAAATTGACCAATCGAATGAAAATGCAAACTGGATGAATTTATTTACCAATGATTATACTTTAAAGCAAAGACAAAATTATAAACTTTAAATTTAATAATCAAATAATGTTTTACTTTTAATTATTGAAAAGTGAAACAAATAAATGACACCGCCCTTTGTTCCCTTTTTTTACTATATTAACGTAATCATTCTGCAGATTATCTCAAAAAATGACTATAAATATGTCATTTGGAACACCAATTTTAGATTGACATTTTCCTGGGTGTCGCTTCCCCTCTCCATGTACTTGAATAATCTCACAGCAGGAAAGAAAACCCGTAAAACTTCTGGGGCTGCGATCTATGGTCGCTAAATTGTCCTCTCGTTATCTTGGCCATATTTAATTAAATTAAAACCATTACCATACTTCTTATTAGTAAAATTGATATGCCTATTACTGTTCATTGTTTCATATGTTTGTTGTATATTGTATACGTTTATAAAAATATGAATCTTACGTGGTTAGTTGATGTTTAAAACTAGAGATTAGATACTTAACAAATTTTTATTTTTTGAATATTTCTATAATCTAATCTGTATAATCAGCGTCCTATAATTTAGCTCAATCTGACTTTTGTTATAGTACTACAACAAGAGGCTTCTTACACAAGCACACTCCCAAGGTATCTGCTATCAAGAGCACGATTACAATGATTTCCGCGTTATATGAAACGTTGAGTATAACGTTTCATAGATCAATATCTGACGAAAGTGGTTGTTAATTCAAGTTAGAGGCGCTTGCGCGATCTGAAAACACTAGACCTATGCTAGAAGATTTCACGAACTTTAACCTTTATTGTTCCACTCCCAACACAGTCATGTAGTGTTAAGGACTATCCCACAAAAGCCTTGGATAGTGAATATATTTACTGTGGTGATTTAACGTAATAATATGATAAGTAATAAGATGCTCTTTTTTCTTACTAATGTCTCAACTAACACTCCATAAAATACAATTTGGATGATGAGATATCTGAGAATATAATTACTAAAACATGCAATTATTTTCCGTGAACGTTATTGTAAAAACAGTTTTATAAATGTTATTTTGAAACTTTCTTTTGGATATATAAGTGAACAATTGCTAATAGGCGCCATATTCAAAGAACATTGTGTTTTGAAAATGTGGACACCTGATATATATGTATTGGGAATTATCATTTAGTTCAATGTTTCTAAAACTTTTTAGTGCCAATTTTTTTTATCGAACTAATATAGTTTATATACCAAATCAACGATTTTTTTAAATTTTATTTTACAGTTCTTTTTCAGCGCAAAATAAACGAAATTTATGGTATCGGTCCAACTAGTAATAGAAAATTGGAAAATAATTTTTTGGTTTCACTAATTAATCCATAAACCTCTTTACAATTATTGGCATTTTATTATAACCACCTTATACTAACCTATGTATTTGCTTAAAGAATCCTTGGAATATGAGGTTTGTGCTTGTTTAGCAGTAAGAATGCTCTCAATTAAATTTATAATCTATATATAAGCCTAAATATTTTATATAATTAGTTTTTGGTTAGTCCTCATCATCAAAGATTTTTTGATTTAGTTACAATCTTTAGCAATCAAAACACAAATAATGTTGTATAAGCTAATTTGTTGGCTTCAGAGCAAAGGGCTCTTATTGGCTTGGTGAAGTCTTCACCAGTGACAAGACCACTTTAATCGTTTCTCAGGTCAGCTGGCCAGTTCCTTTTGCGTTTTCTATTGGCATTATGTTCTATTAGAGATTAAGGTAAGTGGTTACTGTGTCATTCCAGTCCTTCATGTTGCAGGCATGTTCATGTTCCAGGTCTTTATATCGGTTATCGTTCGCAGTATTTTCGATTGGCTTCTTTGACTTATGGTTGTATTTTACTTGCTCGCACATTCCCAGAGTTGTATTCCTATATCAGATTTTACAGGAAAATTATTGGAATTACTTTAATTCACTCTTGTTCAGAATTCTCTCTCTCTAGTTCTGGTGATCCAACTTTAATTTTTTGAGATCATCTTGTATTAGCTTTGGTTAATTCCAAAAGCTACCGTCTTAAAATATGGGATTTATCGATTTCAGACGTCCAATATAAAATATTTTTAAATAAAATTGGGGTTTATCCCCATTAAATGTCTTAAAACTACAGATTTACTTGTCACCTAACAAGTAGATATTTAGTTAAAAATTTAAAAGATTTTGGTAAAAAAGATGCAACAGTGGGTATTAATGCAGTAAAAGAGTGATAACAGTTTAGAGTAATGCAAATAAAATTTTTTTAAATGCTGTTGCAGTGCTTGTTCTCATTTATCTTGTTCCAGCATGTTTGTCTTCATACCAAGTCACCATCTCATATATCAGCAAGATATAAAACGTACAAATGCGTTACTCTTACACAACTTGACGGTTTTAATGGAAAAAAAAATAAGAATTTGTTATAAAGAATTAGAAAAAGTAGGTCAAGAAAAGTTAAAAATAGATTGTGTCAAGTTATCAGTGTTTACTTATATAATAAATTTTCATTTAATATCGATCCAAAAATTATTAACTATTTACTGAAAATTAGAAACGGACTTTGTTTTTTTTTTATTTAAACAAAAATGATCCTGCATCAACTACTAAGAGTTGTTAGCAGGGGGTACAAACACAAATTACAAGTATTTAATTTCTTACAATGTATATATGTATAACTTAAATATATTCTACTAAACACTGTAAAATTTAATGTCTTTCAAATATTTCAGCACTTGGTTGAACTGGTAGCTTAGTAGATCCTTCATGTTGGTAGAGAGGTTATTTTTTCTTGTTTCTTGGGGGGTATGTTTTGCATTCTAACAGAATATGTTTCACAGTGATTTGGATCTTGCAGTTGTGACAGAAAGGGATGGCGTCTTTATTTATTAAGTGAATATGGGTTGGTATAGTATGTCCTAATCGTAGTCGAGTTATTATCACTTGTTCACAACGTTTGAGTGGGAGTGGTAAGATGGTGCCGACAGTTTCTATAACATTTTTAATTTGTTATGTGGAATGAGAGTTATACTGCGATAAGTTGGTAATATGTTTTTTAATAGAGGTTTTATAGTCGTTTCTTGTTATCTTGTGTGACACAGGGATGCTTTCATTTAGTGCAGCTTCATTCGCAAGTTGGTCCACTGCTTCGTTTCCCTTGATTCCCACGTGTGATGGCACCCATAAAAAAGTTATTTGTATGTTTTTTGTTGATAGTAGTATGAGTTCATTTTTTATTAGCATTATAATTTCATTTGATGGATACAATTGCTGTAAAGCTTTTAGTGTACTTAATGAGTCGGATATTATAATATAATGAGGTGCGGATTTTCTTTTGTCCAAGAGAACGTGGACTAGAGTTATAACCGTTAGCTCTTACTTTTGTATAATAAATATACATATACATAATATATATAATGTATAATAAATTTTGTATAAAAGCTAGTGTGTGACCCTCAATTTCAAATTTTTGTGGTGTTTTTAAGATGTTATATTTCCATGCAGTGTCGAAAGCTTTATTGATATCAATAAAAACAGCTAATAATTTTTGATTGTGTAGAAATGCTTCATTAATTTCAGACTCAAGCGATACTAAGTTGTCGGTAGTGAATCTGCCTTTACGACTTTACGTTTTTGTTGTTAAATATTCTAATATTTTCTATTCGATACAAACTAAAAATACCAAACATTGTAACTGGGTTTATTGACTCTATAAGTGAAACTTCTTCAAAATATCTCAGGACTAATGAATATTTTTTAACGTATTGCTTACAATAATATAGTTAAGTACCTATTCATCGAATATTAACTTCAATGTTAACATTGATGTTGCAAGTTAAAATAAAGCCTACTAAGGAAGACGAATTTGTTAAAGTAGGTAATAATGTGCTTGGTCAGAAACATTTCATTATGAAAACAAGATTTAAATGTTCATTAAATTCATCATAATTAGAAAATAAATAAAGTAAAAAGTGAAAGAAAAATTAAACTTAGCACTACGCCACTATTTTCTCTTTGTTTATAATTTCATCATCTTCTATTGGTATTTGAATAATCTTAATTATACAATATATAATTGTATTATTATCATGTTTCAACAGCCTCAAACAACGGAATAGCTATAAACCATTGATTGATGTAAATTTATTTCATACTAATGCCAATCTTCCTCACGTCCTCAGATATACAATCCTTCTACATCAATCTTGGCCTGTCACTACTCCTATTTCCCACGGGAAATGTAAGTTTATTTAGGATAGTTTCCATTTACTCTTCACAGGTGTCCTGCCCATCTCGGTCTACCTCTTTTTATCAAGGATATTACATCATTGCCTTGCAATCTACGTTTAAGGAAAAGCTTTAGAGAAAGTACGCAGAAGACTTGCCAGCTTTGAGATGTGGTGTTATCGAACAATGTGGAAAATATCATGGACACACCCAGTAAAAAAACGGAAACATTAAGAAAGATGAAAACAGAAAAAAAATACTCAACACTATAAAGTAGAGAGCTACTTTTGTCACATACTAAGAAATGAAAAATATAAGTTGATGCGATTGGTTTACAAGGGAAAGTAGAAGGAAAAAGAGGACCGAGGAGACGACGCATTTCCTGGTTGAAGGAGTGGAAAAACAACAATAGAACTCTTCAGAACTGCTGCAGACAGAGTGAAACGGTCTGTGATGATCGCCAATGTCTTTAAAGGATGAGTCACACAAAGAAGAAGAATCCATCTGCTATATATTTACATATTTTATGTATCTAAAGTCATATCGCCTTCTCCAGACATCCTTTTCACAAGTCTTAGATTCGAAGATGAGTTTGCATTTGTTTTAGAAATAGTCAATGTTTCCCACTCATGTATCAGCAGTGATACAATGATTGCCATATTCTTAGTTTGGTTTTTTAACGTGACGTCGTATTGTTACTCTCAATCACATTCCTTGAAAAATATTTGTTTTGGATCGTCTCAACAGATATTTTTTAAATATCAAGAATACTATTATTGTATAGTGTAATGCAACGAAGAAATTAATGTTTTCTTATAAACTGTGAGAAAACTATGTGTATTTATTTAGGTAAATTTGGAGTATCATTGCTAACTGTAAGTCATGGAGTCAAGTTTTGGTCATATTTGTAGTTCTCTCGTATGAACTGTTGACATATATTTATCTTTGTTCGCCATATTGCTCTTTGACTAACGGTAGTGACTACTATTTTTTCTTTTTACAAAATTCGGGAGTTTTTATAGTGGAATGTTTTTCTGTTTGAATACAAAGCTTGGTTACCAGAGTACTTATTTTTAGCTTAAAAACCCAGTGACTTAACACACTACCATTAAATTAAGGAATTGACGTATAACTTGGAATAAATTTGAAGCTTTTGTGTATTTGACTATTATGTGTAAGCTTTTAGATAGCTTCATAGTTAATAGAATGCATCTCCTGAGTATTTGAGAAAGCAAATTACTGCCATCTAAAGTGTAAGTTAATCTATTTATTGATACATTAGGTTTTTATACGTTAAGCCTAGTCCTGCAAGATAAATTTAAAACGCAATATTTATTGTAGCATTTATAAAATGTCTTTTTTATTTGATTTTAAAAATGTTGCATATGTTTATGAAAATATAAATAAAAATTCTTTATTTATTGCTGTACTATTTTAATAATAAAAATTTTTAACTTTGTTACCATCTTTGATTTTTATAAAATCCAAATCAGCAAATAAAATGTCTTTATGAATTTGACTTTTTATTTAGGATACCTTATTTACTTTTCCAATTTATTTACAATGAAAAATATACTACAGTAAAACTTCTGTTAACGGACATCTCTACACAACGGAAACCTTTGCTGAGCGGACAGTTTTTAGGTCAAGACACCACCGAACAACGGACCCTTTTCACAATGACTCCAGACAAAATTTTGTCTTCAATTTTAAGGGACTTAATCAGATCACTCAACTCAAGGGACCAAGAAATAACCCAAGTGCTGAAAGAAAAAGAAATAGACATTTGTGCTCTACATGAAACAAAAAAAAAAGGAAAAGGTCAATCAAAATTAGGTGAATACATACTAATCTACAGTGGAATAGCAAAAGAAAACAGAGCCAAAGAAGGTGTAGCCTTACTAATACACCAAAGGTATTAAAATTACATTAAAGAGTGTCAATACATATCAGAAAGAATAGTAACAGCAAAGATAAGAATGGAGAAGGAAAACCTGAACATTATCGGAGTATACATTGTAAACATTGTACCTTTACAGGATCCTCTACGAATTTTCAAAAATGTTGTTCAAATGGTAACTAGGAAGAACCTACAAATCCATTCTGTGATCCATATCGAACAAGCAATTTCAAACTAATAAAATTTTCTATATCTCCAGATCTACTCAATGGATTTTGATCATTCTTTTTTTAATTTGTATGTAATTTCTACGTACATTACAAATATGTAATTTGTTTATATATAAATTAATTAATAAATAGTCTAGCTTGTTTAAACAATTCGTGCAAAAATAATTTTCTTCCAAAAATCTATTTTTTTTAATACTAGTATCAATAATCATAGAAAAAATCGCATTTTTTGCATTAAATTGTTAATAATTAAAAAACAACTCCAAATTCAAGGCAGGAAACAAGTAGGTTTTCTTCCTATAAGTCTACAATAACTAAAAAAGTTGTCAGAGACCTGGATTATTGAGTGTCACGAACAAGATCTATTTTTTGCTTATTTTTCCTGGAGTATATATTTGATTAACATCTGCGTAATTTCTTTGCCGCTTTCTCGCTGGTTTTGCATATTGCTATGATAGCAGTATTATCGGTAAATGTTGCAATTGTATTATTTTCTAGGACAATAATATAACACGTATACAAAAGGTAAACACACTTCTTTGTGGCAGTCCTGCTGTAATTTCTTTCAGTTCCGTGTATGTTTTTTCCTTTTTAATTCTGAAATATCTTTACAAGATGCAGGAGTCAATTATTTGAGAGTATCGTTTTGGTAAATGTAGTCTTAGTTTATAGTCATAGCATCTTTGCCATACTTTATCATACACCTGAGTCACGTCCTAAATTGTCCATCATATTATCCTTCTCATGATCCATATTTCACATCCATGTAAATAGTAATACAGTATATTTCATCATCATCAATGGCACTTCAACTCTTCGTGAGTCTTTGACGCGGTTACTATCGCCTCCCGTATTTGTCGGTCCTGTGCCAGTAATTCCCATTGTCGCACTCCCATTTTCTCTAGATCTTGGAGTATATTTACATATAACAAATTAAAAATCCTTAGTTGTAAATTTTTGAAATAAGTATTCAGTATACATCTAAGTTTCATAAATGCTCCTTTGTAATCCGTTCTTTGTTGACAATTAGTTGCATAGGGCCGACGTTTACTAACCACAAGTAAATTATCTTATTTCTTTCATTTGACAATAATAATTGTCTGTTAGATTAGTATTGTAATAAGTAAATTAGTCTCTTACTGAATGATAATAAACAACACATCAAACTTATTCTGAAACTATTTCTTGTGTCATGTCATATTTTATTAGATTTTGGTGTAATAAACCACAACCTATCAAACTCAATATTAAAAATCAAAATTGGAAATGATAGCGTGACTAAATTATTCCTTCCTTCAAGAAATTTTAAAAAGAACTGATTCATATTACTATTCAGTGCAAGGACAGTTATTTTGATATTTATATCGAATAGAGAATACTGTTAGTTTGCGGTATGGACCCCAAAAAATATTTTATTTGAAAAGATTGATAAAGATATGGAACTGTGAGAAAATATGCTACAAACATTGCAAGATTTTTATTATAATTTTTATTTGGAACACCTTCTGAAGAAACATTAGACATAATTCTATATTTATAAGTATCACGATCATTAAAATTGATAAAATGAAACTATATATATATATATATATATATATATATATATATATATATATATATATATATATATATATATATATATATATATATATATATATATAGTTTCATTTTATCAATTTTAATGATCGTGATACTAATCAAATTTTTATGATATATAATAGTATAGGATCCCGCTATAAAACGACCTTCACCGAGCTGGTTAATGGATGAAAGATATTCTTTATCAAATAAAATAAGTCAATAAATATATTACGAATGGGTTGTCTAAAAAATTTCAGTCCAGAATATGATTAATTAACAATTAAAAAAAAATTTTTTTTTTAAATTACATCGGCTTGGTTAATGAACAAATTCCATTCCAATCGAAAATATGAAACCTATAGAATATACAAATATTAGGTTGACTATTTATTTCCCGTCACAACCCTTGGGTAGGCAGGTATAAACAGGTAAATCGATACTAGTAACTTGCACCGGTCTGATTAATGAATGAAACTAAAATAAAAATAAAGATAATTTTATTACGAACACGGTGGTATAGGGTTGTCTGCAAAAAATCAGTTCTAAATTGCGGTTGTTGAATTTTAAAAAGTGAAATATTGCTGCGAGTGAATACGTGCGACAGCGAGGTCCCAGCAAACCATCCGAGGTGATAGAAGAGGACACAGCATTGCAGCTGTCTATAGTTTGTTGGTTGAATGAAAGAGAGCGCACATGCTATTTGTCGGTGAAAACGAAAAGGGTAGCGATAGACTAGTAAATGCTACGCACTCATTGCAAAAAAAGTAAAGTTAAGAAAGATAAAAAAAAATCTTAACAGCATCGTTGAGGTAATAAAATGTACGATGAATCCGTTTGATGACACTATTGATAAAGATATTTTATTCAACATTTCGACGGGTAAAGCTGCATCTACAGAAGTGGCAGATTTCCTGCTTAACGTGAAGACAGCAGGTTATCAACAAAAATTAAATTTTATCTTGGAATGCTCTTCAACTCCTGCAAGATTCGATAAACCTATAAAACGAAACAAAATCTTCAATTTTGCTTCTCAATGCATGACTAAAGTTCTCAGTAGCAAAGACAAGAACAAGAAAATATTATTGAAAATGGAACGAGATATATTTGGCCGACTTTTGGCAATTAGTCTGAACAAAAAAATAAATCTCAAATATTGCTTAACTTTTCCACTAGCACCAATGCCACCAGCTCTTTTTTCATGTACTGGAGAGATGTTAAAAACTTCAAAATCTACGTTAGCAAAGATTTTGAAAACAGAAACTAAAATGGTTGAGCCAATATATATCAACGTTGAAATAATTGATGGTTTTTACTACTTACACTTAATCGGATCTTCTATGCCCCAAACTTTTGATAAAATTGCAGAAACAATACTTATCAAAATATGTTCAACAAACGCAACAGAAGTACATTTAATTTTTGATCGTTACTTATCACCATCAATTAAAGATTCCGAACGTGAAAGCCGAAAAGAATTCTATATTCCGTACAAAATTTCGGGACCTCAACAAACCAGACCTCATAATTTTTTACAAAGCCTTAAAAATTATCGTTTCAAAGAGGCTTTGGTGCTGTTTCTGGCAGATTATTGGGAGAACAACCATTTGGTAACAATAATCCAAAACAAAAAAATTTTCTTAACCCTCAACTATCAATGCTATTCTTATCAAGTTCATGAAAACTCCATAAAAAAAAGTAAAGAAGTTAATTATGAATGTCATCACGAAGAGGCAGATACGAGGATTATTTTTCATGCTCATAAAGCGGAACCAGGGTCAAGGATTTTAATTAAAGCCTCTGATACTGATGTTTTGATTATTTTGTTAGGAAATATGCACAAAATTTCAGAATCAGAAATTTGGCTTTCCACTTCAGCAACAAAAAAAAAAGGATAACCAACCTGTTGATTGCATTAATTGTACCGATCTAGCATTGAAGTTAGGACTTAAATTGTGCCAAAGTCTTCCCGCTTTCCATGCGTTCACAGGTTGCGATTACACGGCTGCATTTCACAATAAAGGAAAGGTAAAACCTTTTAAGCTGCTTTCAAAAAATGAAAAATATCAAACAGTTTTTGCGTCACTAACAGATGAAGCTGATATTTTCATTAACGAAAAAATGAACACCGTTCAAGAATTTACTGCCAGTATGTATGGCGTCAAGAACTGCACAAAAGTGAATGAAGCGAGATATCGCATTTTTCTGAAGAAATATTCTGCCAAAGAAGACAGCGAGCAGTTTAAAAAAAAAATAAAAGGCTTTGACTCCAACTCTATACCACCATGCTGGATATCATTGACTCAGAAAATTTTACGAACTATTTTCGTAAATTCCATGTGGCTTAATGCAACGGATCCAGTATGCGTGAAACTTCAACCTGAAAACTGCGGTTGGTTCTTCGATGAATATTTAAAACCAGTAGGATTCATTGGGGATCATACACTTTTAAGAATAGAAGATATTGTCGAAACATCTGAAACAGAAAGCGATGACGAAGAATGTTCTGACATTGAAGATTACAATTACATGTCTGATGACTCGGATCCTGAATAATTTAAAAATTCAACAACCGCAATCTACTCCAAAATGACGCATAGCATTTACTACTCTATCGCTATCCTTTTCATTTTCACCGACAAATAGCATGCGCGCTCTCTTTCATTCAACCAACAAACTATAGACAGCTGCAATGCTGTGTCCTCTTCTATCGCCTGGGATGGTTTGCTGGGACCTCGCTGTCGCACGTATTCACTTGCAGCAATATTTCACTTTTTAAAATTCAACAACCGCAATTTAGGA